CACCGATATCGTCTCGAGGACGAGCTGCTGGCGTACAGCATCGACAACTTCGATGCCCCACGTGTCGTTGTCCCTAACGACCCCGATCTGCGCTCACGGATTATCCATGAGTTTCATGATGCCCCACTGGGCGCTCATCTCGGTCGCGAGAAGACATTTGCCGCTGTGTCACGCGACTTTTATTGGCCACACCTGTACAAATGGGTGCGTAAGTGGGTGCGCACCTGCGAGACCTGCCAGCGCGTGAAACCTGCCTCGTCTTCGCAGGCTCCTGGTGGCCACTATCTACCAGTGGCCACCAAGGCCTGGCGCTCGGTGTCGATGGACTTCATCTTCGGGCTCTTACCCGATGCTAAAGGACGATCAAGTGTCTAGGTATTCGTAGACCGCTTCAGCAAGATGGTTCACCTGATTCCGGTGTCGGATGCGATCACCGCGGCAGATACCGCGGTGCACTCCCTCGATGCTGTCTTCCGTCATCATGGCCCTCCCGAATCTATCGTCTCCGACCGCGACCCGCGCTTCACGTCGGCCTTCTGGTCAAAGCTCTTCGAGCTACTGGGCTCGAAGCTAATGATGTTCACTGCAGCCCATCCGGAAACGGACGGCCAGACGGAGCGCGTAAATCGCGTCCTCGAAGACGTCCTTCGAAGCTACGCGACGTCGTTCTCCAGCTGGAGCTCGTTTCTGCCACTGGCCGAGTTCGCTCTGAACAACGCGGTACACGCGTCGACTGGGCTGACGCCCTTCTTCGTTAATAACGCGTGACACCCGCGTGTCCCTGCTCTCCTCGCCGTGGGCCATCCCACAGCGCCATGTGTCTCCACTCTGGGTGGGGAAGAAGCTGCCGACAAGCCGTCTACTCCATCTGCGATGTCTCCGGCGGCTACACCGGTACTGGGTCAACCGGTACATACACCGGTTGCTAATGATATCTCGAGTGTATCCCCTGTTCCCACGTCGGTCAACGCAGTGACACGCTCCGCATCGAGCCTACTTGCGCCAGCTAACTACGCGCCGAAGCATGCGGCGCGACCAATCGACTCCGCAGTCGTCTCCGACTTCGTACTACAGCGCCAAGCGGTCACCCGCTATGTTCGTGACGCACTGCAGGACGCAGTGGACAAGCAGAAGGAGAACGCTGATAAGGCTGGCCGCAAGAACACAGCTACGTTTACGACAGGCGAACGAGTGCTCCTGTCGACTGAAGGTATCAGAAACTCTGCGGTTACCAACCTCGGCCGGAACAACCCCGCGCCGCGCTTTATTGGGCCGTTTACGGTGATCAAGACCATTGGTGACGCTTACACTCTGGATATTCCTTCGACACTACGGCTACATCCGACGTTCTACGTCGGACGTTTAAAGAAATACCATCCGTCCGAGATCCCGGACGCTGATTTTTCCTCGAGTGACGCGGCAACTTTCCAGCGAGATGGTCCTCCTCCTTTGATCGACTCTTCGGGCGCTCGGCGTTGGATCGTTGAGTGAATCGTCGACCACGACTTTCGCCAGTGTCATGGTACCCGTGACGGTCACACTGAAGCGTTTCCACAGGGTCGCGCCCTGCGTGACAAGGAACAACACTATCGCGTGCGTTGGTTGAGACTCCCCCCCAGGTGAAGATACTTGGGAGCCGCGCAGTCGTTTGCGGGAAGTCGTTCCCGACATCGTGATCGAATACGAGAAGACACTCACGTTCCGAAGCGTGAGTGAGCCGGGTGCTGATATCCGCGGTGAAGAAGGCGACCAGCCTCCGCGGGTACACGGAGGCGCTCGCCATGCTGATTAAAAAGAAAACTGGAGTTGACGCCGGGATCGAACCGGTGACCAGCTACACGAGAACTCGGCACTGTACCGCTGAGCCACTCGGTGAGTAAGCCGAGTGAACAAGTGAGTGAGTAAGTGAGTGAGTGAGTGAGTGAGTGAGAGCGAGTGAGTGAGTGCGGCGTGAGTGACGCGAGGTTCCACGACGACGAGTGAAACCCCAGCTCGCAGGTCACCTATATTCCGACGTCGCAGTCGCCTGGGTCTACAAGATTCTTCTTCGTACGCTGTGCAGTCGCACATCGTCGCTCAGTCAACTGAGTGAAGTGGTTGTCGTCCCCGTATTCGCAGTCTCAAGTACCTCGTGCGCTGTCTTCGTGATCCTCGTGTCTGCTAGAACATCGTGGACGTTCACGATGAGCGTATCCCCAAGCACAAGGAAGTCTCCAGTCGGCGCTCAGCCTTTGCGTCTGTGGTGGTCATCGTGCCAGCGTTTCCTTGCAAAAACACTTGCTCGTGCACTTGTCGCGGAGTTTGGTCTCCGTGGGAATCGAACTCACGCGTACTGCGCGTGGGCATGCTCCGTTACCGGCTCGGACACGACGTCGCAGAGATTTTAATGCGCCTCAGGACAATTCCAAAGGTCCAAGCTTCAATCCACCAGAACCTCACCTTGTCGCCTCGAAGCCCACGTGTGTCGACACCAGCGCCAGCGACAGCGACGGTGGCCTCCAAGCTGTTGTCTGAGATGGCTTCTCGCTCTGCACGCTCGCTGCCGAGCGTGGTGTCTCTTGTTGATACACCAGTGGCTTGATGTCGTGAGTGTCGCCGATGTCGCCGCTGTCTCCGCCGTTCCAGCCATCTTCTCCAATGTTCTTCATCAGTGCTTATGTTGCGTAAGTGCAACTTTAAGAGGGGGGGGTAATGTAATGGGCCCCCCCTTTTTGGCAGAGGCTCCCGTTACTCCATTACATAAGTAGGTAGATTTCTTTACATAAGTAGGTGCATCAGCACACGCCTAGCGTGTGCTTAAATGCTGTCATGCCATTGGCTGATATATGTGGAGCCAGACCCATTATTA